TAATAAATGTTCTTTCTCTACCCTTTACCATGTCTCTTTGTTCAGCATATGAGGGTTGAGTGCCTACACCTATTCTGGGAATCCAGAACTTTGGACTTGAGGTCTATAAAACCTGGTATTATACCTAGACATAGGATATTAGGTTTCCACATTATTTTTAGTAGAATATGGTATAATTATGAAAAATGATTTTGCATAGAGCAAAAGGGATTTCCAAGCATTAAAAAAACAACAAACCGGGGCTGGGAAGGTGGCTCAGTGGTAGAGTGCTTGCCTTGCATGCCTGAGGCCCTGGGTTCGATTCCTCAGCACCACATAAGCAAAAAAGAAAAAAGCCGGAAGTGGCGCGGTGGCTCAAGTGGTAGAGCGCTAGCCTTGAGCTGAAGAGCTGAGGGACAGCGCCCAGGCCCAGAGTTCAGGCCCCACGACCGGACCCAAAAAAAAAAAAAAACAACAAACCATTACATCAGTGAACACATAAATGGACATGTTGAATTAAAACCTGCTCATATAACAACAGAAGATATCAATTCTCATTAACTGTTCTTTAGAAACAATGAAATACAACTAGTTGTTTTGGCATCCTACCTTTAATTAAGCTATGGGGGAATTTTTTTCCCCAAAAATGTCATCAAGCAAAGTCCAAAGATAGTTTTGGTGCATAAAAGGCATGTAAATTGTTTCCTTATTTTGAATTTAGAGTTTGAAATTAAGATAGGTAAAGAATAAAGGTGCCTTAGGAAACAGGTTATCATATGAACATTCATTATGACTACATAAAAACAAGATAAAGGATGTAGTTTTAGAGTGACTACATAATAAATTGAATTTGCTATATTCTAAACAGCACCAACTAAACATGTATGTGTGTGTGTGTGTGTGTGTGTGTGTGTGTGTGTGTGTGCTTCTCTGTAACTACAGAACCTGGCAACACTAGTCTTGAGCATAAAAGCTCAAGGACAGTGCCCAGGCCCTAAATCCAAGCCCCAAGACTCTCTCTCTCTCTCTCTCTCTCTCTTCTCTATCTCTCTTCCTCCCTCTCTCTCTTCCTCTCTCTCTCTCACATACACACACACACATACTATAAGGATTCACTGGACACTGTTGTATTTGTATTAACAACAGTCCTTAAACAGAACAGGCAATTGTTTCCTCAGAGGGACTAGGAAAACAGGCAGCTATCCAATACCTGTCTGTCCTCTAAGCTCACGTGTATATTGTATATGTCAAAAACACATCTGTCATTCTTAACGCACTGTCTACATGTTCTATAACTTGTTAATAATGGATCACTATAAAACACATAAAAATAGATGACTAGTAGAAGCTCTTTTGTGATTTTTACCTTATAATCTTCAAGTTAGATACTATATTGGTAATATCCAATGATTAGGAAATAATTGATTTAATATTTTAGTTAAGAGTTATCATAAACTGTGTTTTCAGTTTTTTAACTTGACATATTGAGGCATAGGAGTTTTTTTTTTGAAGGAGGTATAGTACTGGATCTTGAACTCAAGACCTGTCCTTTAGCTTCTATACTCATGGCTGGTGTTCTACCACTACAGCCACAGCTCTACTTCCAGCTTTTTGCTGGCATATATATATATATATATATATATATATATATATATATATACATATATACGTATATATATGTATATATATGTGTGTGTGTATAAATATACATATATATTTATATATATACATATATATTTATATTGATGCTGATATATTGGATACAAACTTTCTTGCCAGGGCTGGCTTTAAATCTTGATCCCCATATCTCAGCCTCCTGAGTAGCTAGGATTACAGATGTGAGCCACCAGTATCCATTGAATCCTTATAGTGTGTGTGTGAGAGAGAGAGAGAAGGAGGGAGAGAGAAAGGGAGAGAGAGAGAGAGAGAGAGTCTTGGGGCTTGGATTCAGGGCCTGCCTGGGCTTTTATGCTCAAGGCTCATGCTCTATTACTTGAGATGCAACTCTACTTCTGACTTTTTCTTGGCAACTGTAGTTGAGAATCTGACTAATTCCACTACCTCAAATCACAGCCTCCTACGCAGCTAAGATTACAGGTGTCAGCTGCTGGCACCTGGCTTAGTCCATATAATTTTGAACATTATAAAAATATATTCAACTTTTAAAATGACATGATTTATTCTATGCATAAGTTACAATTTTTAAATTATATAAAGTGATTTTTACTCTTCTATATCTACTCAAATTTAGTAAATGTAAATGGGTTCGATTCCTCGGCACCACATAAGCAAAAAGAAAAAAGCCAGAAGTGGTGCTGTGGCTCAAGTGGTAGAGCGCTAGCCTTGAGCTGAAGAGCTGAGGGACAGCGCCCAGGCCCAGAGTTCAGGCTCCACGACTGGACCCAAAAAAAAAAGAAAAAGAAAAAGAAATATGTACTTTTTCTTACAAAAAGATATACCAAGTATTAAACTTTCCAAGTTATTCTAAAATCATATATGCTTTTTATTACAACCTGCTAACCAAGACCACTAATGAAATTCATAAAAATCTTTCATTGGGTTACAACTTAAAGCAGCACCTTAAAGCACCTTAAAGTTTGAGATTTGGAGCTTTTAGAAAATGAGCTTTGGGGGCTGGGAAGGTGGCCCAGTGGTAAAGTGCTTGCCTAGCATACATGAAGCCCTGGGTTTGATTCCTCAGTACCACATACTCAGAAAAAGCCAGAAGTGGGTCTGTGTGGCACAGGTTATAGAGTGCTAGCCTTGAGCAAAAGAAGCTCAGGGATAGCGCCCAGGCTCTGAATTCAAGCTCCAGGACTGGCAAAAGAAGAAAATGACCTTTTAATGAAAATTAATGCATTATAAAGTCTTTCATGTAATCCAATTAAATTTGGGTTGATATTATAATGTATTCATTTCCTGTTGAGGTACACAGTATTGAAAAATTACTTACATTCAAACAAGTAGAAATTTTTTTTCAGTGGTTGTACAAGATAGGATAACTGTAATAATGCAATAACTCAAGTTAAAAATCAGAGCCACAGACACAAATTGAAGTTTTCAAAGAAATATAAAAGTATGTAGGGTCAGAGGCACTATTATTTAGATGAGCAATTTTGTTACTCTGTTAAATTTGGTAGGAAATTCACTTTATCCCTTATAATAAATGCATCAAGGTTTAGAAAATATTAAATCTTTGTTTTACACACGTACTAGAAGCACTCTTTTTTTCAGACTTAGTAGCCCGATTTCTCACCACTTTATCCTTTAATAGAAAGCCTGAAAGGACAATCATTTGGAATTACTGGATCATATTTTAAATGATTTAAGGCAAGAAATTCTTGGCCTTCTCTTGTTAGGTTCAACATGGAATGTGGCTTAGTGGTAGAATGCTTGCCTAGCATGCATTAAGTCCTGGGTTTAATTCCTCAGTACCCCATAAACAGAAAAAGCCTGAAGTGGTGCTGTAGCTTAAGTGGTAAAGTGATAGCATTGAGCAAAAGAAGTTCAAGGACAGTGCCCAGGCCCTGAGTTCCGAGGGGGGGTGGGGGACGACATATTGTGGGGAGCTATTTTATATTCAAATTGTCATTGACACAGGCATACTATTTTTGCAGATAATGAAAAGTATTTGGACTCATAATGTATAAGCACCACACAAAAGAAAATTTTCAGGAGAAAAGATGCATACAAACACAAACATGAAACACAACTTCCCAGCAAAGGCCAGAACCAACATTTGATTACATGTTTTCAAACAAAAAAGTATCAAAATTCCCAAATATCATCAATCCTTAAAAAAATTAATGAGCCAGATTTCATCCTTAACCATCAATTAGTCAAAATACACACACATACACACACACACAAACACACACACACGAAGAAACAAGACTTGGGAAATCACAATATTTTATCTTTCAAGGGCCAAATGGAGGGCTAGAATGGCTCTGTAGGACAGTATCTTCTGTTTAAATTCCAGGAGCACCAAAAAGAAAAGAAAGGAAAATGTCAAAATGAGAACTTTTCTACTCCTCATTCCCATCACTGCCGATTCTTGTTATAGGATTAAGATAAACCATATCTTGATGTGGAACCTTCAAAAATAAACCCGCTAGGAGTTAATGACTAATGTACTTTTTAATTGCATTGGAGAAAAAAACAAGTGACACTTGTAGTGGGGAGAGAATAAACAGAAGATAATTAAAACAGCAAAAGGGGAATTTATGTAGAAGTTAAGGCTAATGCATCCAGCCTGTGCAATGACTGCATTTTATGGTTAAAATGATTACTCAGCAGGCAGGGAAAGGACTGAATTATACAAAAAGCAATCTTGCCATACACTGAAAATCTTTGAGGCCCGTTGTGGAATCACAAACATCTTCCGTGTCCTGACTTGCACTTTCACTTTAATTAAGTGTAATAGCTCAAAAACCTAACACTTTATCAGGATATTGCATATCCAAGCAGCAGAATGCAAAGCACTGGTCAAAGGGAGGACTCGCCAAAGTCTTTCATTCACTATACACTTCCCCAGGTATCAAAACTGCAGATTTTAAGATGAGGGTCCTATGAGTAATTAGGTAGCCTATGTATTTTACAACTTTTCATGTTAGCTGTCCCCTAAACTTCTCATAGTCTAAACAAGTTTTAGGTACTGAAAAGTTGCCAGGGACAACGAATAAAAAGGATTGGTGAAACACACCAGACTAAAAAATACCTAGGTAGCAAAAGCACCTCTAGTGGAAGAAATAGCTTCTTGCTAGTTTCTGACGCCAGTACGATCATGACTGGGTCTTTCATTTCCCAGGACATTACAAAATACTCCCCCAACGACAGTGTGTAAGAAATGCCACAAGGTTAAAGTCAGCCTCCACCGTCTTAACCTCATTGAAATGCTAGCAATGTTTAGTCTTTTGGCTGGTAAAAACAGCTTAGCACTACAAGACACTTGCAGCTCTGTTTTGGTAATAGTAGGTGGCTCTTAAAAGAGCCTTTGGGGATACGAAGTTGAAGCTTACTTGGCAGGTTTATTTGGAGCTGGTGTACTTGGTGACGGCCTTGGTGCCCTCGGACACGGCGTGCTTGGCCAGCTCCCCCGGCAGCAGCAGGCGCACGGCCGTCTGGATCTCCCGAGACGTGATGGTCGAGCGCTTGTTGTAGTGCGCCAGGCGCGACGCCTCGCCCGCGATGCGCTCGAAGATGTCGTTCACGAACGAGTTCATGATGCCCATGGCCTTGGACGAGATGCCCGTGTCCGGGTGGACCTGCTTCAGCACCTTGTACACGTACACCGAGTAGCTCTCCTTGCGGCTGCGCTTGCGTTTCTTGCCGTCCTTCTTCTGCGCCTTGGTGACGGCCTTCTTAGAGCCCTTTTTGGGAGCAGGAGCGGACTTCGCTGGCTCAGGCATCTTGAGATGTCCAAAGACAGGAAATGCAATAGTAACAGAACGGGAATTTCCCTTATTTATAGAGCATTTATGCTAATGAGGGATACTAAGCAAGTGTTATTTAATTGGAAGAGAAGCCAAAAGGCTGTCATTCGTGGGCCGGGTTATGTAAATAAAGTATGGAAACTCGGCTTTTCTATTGGCTATTTCATAGATGTTTGCCCTAGCCAATCAGAGAACCAAATCTATTAACCCGGAAATGTCTATAAAAGCAGCCATGTTTTACGCACTACGTGACTATTTTCTTGTGGTTTTTTTCATCTCCTTTTGTGACGTTTGACGTTTGAAGATGTCTGGGCGAGGCAAGCAAGGCGGTAAAGCTCGCGCGAAAGCGAAGTCTCGGTCCTCTAGAGCCGGCCTCCAGTTCCCGGTGGGCCGAGTTCACCGGCTGCTCCGCAAAGGTAACTATGCCGAGCGCGTCGGCGCCGGCGCCCCGGTGTACCTGGCGGCCGTGCTGGAGTACCTGACGGCCGAGATCCTCGAGCTGGCTGGCAACGCGGCCCGCGACAACAAGAAGACCCGTATCATCCCGCGCCACCTGCAGCTGGCCATCCGCAACGATGAGGAGCTCAACAAACTGCTTGGCCGAGTTACGATCGCTCAGGGCGGCGTCCTGCCCAACATCCAAGCGGTGCTGCTGCCCAAGAAGACCGAGAGCCACCACAAGGCTAAGGGCAAATGAATTGGCAAATGAGTTGGCGGACACCTCATCTACCGGAAACGCTTTCAAACCCCAAAGGCTCTTTTCAGAGCCCCCACTAATATCAAAAAAAGAGCTAAAACCACTATCGATAAAGTTAGTAAATAGGATAGTTCTGCCCCAAGCTGTAAAGTTAAATGTGTTTTCTGAGATGTTGGTTGGCACACGATTATAGCTCCCAACCAGAACTAAGATGTAGGTAGTTATCTTAAGTAGCTCACACCTTTAATCCTAGGTACTAAGAAGGCTGAGAATTACGGACCACGGTTTGAGTCCAGCCTGCTGCAGACAAATCAAGGAGACTACAGAAAACTGGAAGTTGGTTGTGTAAAAGCACTAAACTCGAGAAAACGAGCTTAGTGACAACCTGAGAACTTAATTTTCAGTTCTGGCACACGAAAAACAAAGCCCATGAGCTAAGTTTGAGAGATTTGGAAGATGGGTCACATATATATACTCAGGTCTTTGGAACCGAATTTACTGAGCAGAAAGATAAACTGACTTATCTTAGAGATCATGATTCATTTAAATGTTCCTAATCTAAAACACTGCTCAGCATACAAGGATATAACTAAATTTTAAGGACTCCTAATGCCTCTGAAAACCTTTGCTAACTAGTGATCTTGTAACAACTACAAGAGACAAATCTGAGACCATGCAAAAACCTCTTGGATTCTGTTTCCTTGGGTTCTTGGTGTTCAATTTTCTCCAGGATGACAAAGTTGGGGCATGAGTGGGAATACATAGGGAGGGAAGCCCAGTGGACTAAGGCTTGCACATGCCTTCCCAGAGCAGACTGGTCAAGCAAAGCAGTTATGTAATTAGACTTCTGTAATTCCACACTGAATCAGTGAAATCATTCAAATCATTTCAGTTCCTGGCAATCAAATACTTTGATTTGGTCTTTGTTGCTTAATCCAAGCTAAAGCTGTTTCAGATGACTTCTATTTAGCAGATACTTCCATCTTTAGGGTCTTCAGGCAGCCTCTTCTCAAATCTATCTCCAGCAACTACCCTCTCCTCATATACCAACTTAAAAAAAAAAAAAAAGTCGCTACCTTGATTAGCATTTAAATTTTTCTGGGGTGTCATGAGACCGAACCACCTCACAATGCCTTGAGGCATTTTCTGAGGTGTCATAAGACCTAACCACCTCACAATGCCTACTGTGAGTACTGGATTATTTATTTATTTATTAAACATTTCCTTTGTATACTTGGGTCAAAATTACTTACTATGAGCTTCCTAGGTGTTACCCTTAGCCTAGGTGTCTAACTTCTCTTTGCCTCCAACTCTTCTTATATCTGTAGTCACTTGTTATGAATACAAGCAGCTCAGTAATGTGAGTTCTGAAATTAGAACACAGGCTGGTCAAGGGAAATGGAAATAAATACCTAATAAGGCATTATTGTGTGCTAGGCATGTTCCTATGTGTTCTTATTCATGTCATCCATCAATCCAAAAGATAAATTTCATTTCTCTTCTATAATTATTGATGAGCAAATGGAAAAACACAGTCTAAATTAAGTCCCAAGGCCAGAAAGCAGTACTTCTCATACCTGGTATTGAGATTATTTTTAATGACAATACAAAATGACAACTTTGCCCACAAACCAAAACATTACTCATGACATTCTATAAACTCTGTGGATAACTTAAAGGAAGAACTTAGGTTTCTCTGAATCTACTTAAAGAGAAGAAAATCTTTACAATGTGTGAGCATAATAAACACTAGGGAGGGGGTAGAAACCAGCACCAGTTTAATTTAGAGGGTGATAAGTGAAACAAAAAGACTTTTGGTATTAGGTATTTTTCCAAGGACATGATAAACTGATTTGGTGTGGTGAATAAAGGAAAAGATAATGAAGACATGAGATTTTAGTTCTCTCTTCTGTGTTCCAACAACAAAACTTTGTATTTAATTATTTACTAGTAAATGATACATTGTGAACTTTCTTAGCTTTGATATTTTCATCTTCCCAAGACCAGTGTAAGGTCAAGGGCCTATTTTGTTAAATTGTATTCTGCTAGATCCTAGCATAGAATAGATACTTAATAATCAGGGAGGAAATGTTGGCCTAAATAAATCAGTAGCTGAGCAGTCAGGAGGCACTTTGTTCAAGAATCTCAGGTTACTACTAGATAAGGCTTAAGTACAAAACTGTCTAATGCTGACAATAACACCTTCTTTTTCCAATAGAAATTTCCCTATAATCCAGGTTTTGTTGGGAGCTTTTAACTTCAGAGAAATAAAGTGCCAGTCCTTCAACTCTTTTCCTAGAGATATTAGTAATAGCCCTCCTTCAAGCAAAGTTTAGTTCTTACAGATGTATCTCAGCTCCTCACCAAGTTATCTACCTTCTTTTTTAAAATATATATATATAATTGTTATATATATATATGTATATGTGTGTACACACACACACACACACACACACACACACACAGAGGGGTTACAGTTACATGAGTAAGGTAGCACATTTCCTATCAAATTTGTTACCCTCTCCTTTGTTTTTCCCCTACCATCCCTTCCCTCCCCACCTCCCCAACTCCTCCCTCCTTCTACTTTGCAGTATCACTATTTATGTCTAAATGTTCCAGTTACTGCTAGGGAAAATTCTCTAATGCACAATAAATGCTCAGGAACTTTAGCTGGTCTCCAGCCCTTCAGAAGGTCTCAATCTATCTTACCTCAAGGGTCCTGGGAAAAACTTTAATTTAGGGCAATTTGATGAGAAGTTTAGAGTCAGGTCTCTCATTTACTGGTGGCTAATGGAAAACACCAATGACAAAAGTCTATCTTAAGTTTTTAACTGAAATGTGAGCATGAAAAAGAATCATTATTTAGTATTATAAGCTATCATGAGCAAATCAGACCAGTTTTATACAATATTGGCCAATTTTTATATCTCCTTATAAATTTCCAATTTGTCTAGAAAAATCCTTCTCCTTACTACATCTGTAATTTCCACTTCTTTGTTATTTTGTAGCATTTGAACTATTTTTATAGTGTAAGTTTTAAAACCAAATGTTACATATACATACACACACACATGTCAGCAAGGTATAAGTAGCTTCCTAAAGGCATCTAGTGATCTTAAGTTATAATTCTAAATTTACATATTTATATTAAGTATAAATTGCTAGGAATTTAATTGTTTCCATGAACCCTGAAGCTAAGATTAAAGCTCTTATTTTGCCACATGATTCTCTACTCTGTATTTTATCTCAGGATTGTAATATTAAAATATGAAGAAGGGCAGGGAAGGTAGCTTGGTGGTAGAGTGCTTGCCGTGCATACATGAGGCCCTGGGTTTGATTTCTCAGCACCACATACCAGAAAAAGGTGGAAGTGGTGCTGTGGCTCAAGTGGTAGAGTCTGGCCTTGAACTAAAAAGCTGAGGGACAGCACCGAGGCCCAGAGTTCAGGCCCAACGACCAACCAAAAAAATTATATATATAAATTGGCTTCTTCATTTTATATATATATATATATATATGCATATATATATATATATATATAAAATGAAGAAGCCAATTAAAAGACAATCTACCTAGAAAATAATTATAATATCTTTTTAGTAAGTATATCCATTGTACTTTCCAGAGAAATTGGAGTATGGCATGTAGGCTTGAAAATAAAGTGAATTATCAAGCAGTGAATTAGTAGTAATACTCATAAAAGCATCAGAACTTGATTGGATTCTATTTATAAAATTATTAGTTGTAGTGTGGGCAGAGAGGGAAGGATTTAGAGCTTATGCACATTGCTTTTAATTGATCCTTTTCTCTTTTTAAGGCTTGAGGCTTCTAATTTATTTTAATCTGTGTAAGCTTGAGAGACAAGTTATAAGCTTCTAATATGCAATAGGACAAATATAAGATACATGTTTTCATCCCTAAAGAAAGTAAAGAAGAAGGGCAGATGGTTGCTAAGGAAGTCCACCACCTATAATGCAGTCTTGAATAATCTGCTGTGGCTATCTGATACTCTGCCTTTCAGGAGTACTCTAGTGGCAGTGTATCCATCATGATGCTGTCTGGTTTCTCTGCCTGGAGCTTGCCTCTTCAGTATAGTAGAGTCCCACCCAAGCAACTCTCTGTGAGAGACTGGCCCATACATAACTTTGCAAGACATTGTTCTGAACCGAAATGAATTCAGGCTTGTCTGCCTGCTACAAACCTGACTGAATCCCATGCGTACCCAAAGCCTGAAATGGACCTTAATGACTTTGGAACTGTCTTTCAGGTCCTTCTATTTTCTTGAATGACATTAGATGTTTAT